CTATAAAGCGGGTAGTACGTTTTAAGACATTTATATTTTCATCAAATCATCGACATGTGATGGAAAATAGTTTTGTGTGGATTGTAAGGCCTGCTGTGGATCTGATCTGTGGGCATGGGTTTCTAACCTTGGAGATCATTTCAAAGGCTGGGGGGGGGGGGGGCAGGGCAGACTCTTCCTCTCTGTGTAGAGCGCAGCTGGTAAATACATATTTCTAGGGCTGCTTAAAAGAAATAACACATAAAGGTAGCACTGGGGACATTGAGCAGGAGTGGCTCCAGGGACCAGAGTTCTGACCTTGCTTTTGCCAGTGCCCGCCCTGCTGGGTCTCACCACATCTGCTGTGAAAACGAGCTGGTGGCAGCTGCCTGCCGCTCAAGAAGATGAGCATGAGAGAACAGGTCACAGCTATGGAGGGAGCCTCGCACGGAGGGCTGGGCTCACACCCAGAGCATCCCATGGCCTCGGCCAGAGCTACCCACAGAGCAGGCCTCCGCATCCAGGGATGGCCCGCACCCGGCTGGACTGAGATGGGTGTCCGCACCTTCTTCGGGGCCCCTGTCATTTCTCTCATCATCTGGATGCTGTGCACCAGAAGGACCGTGGACAACACTCAACCTGTATTGCAGCCCTTGTGTAACTCCAGGAAGATTATGGTTGTCTTTGCCTTTAGCCCTTTTCCTGCAAGATGCCTCTGCTTGTACTCCCTCACCCATACCCTTCCAGACTCCTCTGTACCCTTATCAACACCCTTCTTAAAGCTCAATGCCCAGAACCAGAAATGGCCTACCACATGTTTCTAACAATAATAGGACCACAATTTACTCTGAGCCAGTTTTTCCTGTTGTGATGGGACTGGAGGAAGATCGATAAGACCCTGTGCAAGTCAGCGGGTACCAGAGGGAAAAAGAAAAGACAAGTCTTGGGAACTGAAGGCACTGCCTGTAGCTGAGCGGATGGCTTTCATTTGTTGCCCAGAGCCTGCTCCGTCCTCCGAACTGCCTGGAAAGAAGCAGGATGTGACTGGTGTCATTCTCCAGATTGGAACGGCATGTCAGTGGTAAACGGAGAGTAGGCGTGTTTAAAGGTTGATCATTTCAGCTGCAGCAAAACTCCTACCAACTGCCAAGCACCAACTCCATGGAGCGAAGGAGGCCATTTCCCACTGAGCCATTCTTTTGCCAGCACCTGCTCTGACCACCGATGCTTGACTTCCCTGCCTGATTCTGCCATTGGTGCGGAGATCAGGAGTTCCGAAGGGAAAATTGGGGCTCAGGGGTCCTGGCTTCTCCACCTCCTGGCTGAGGTCGTTAGCAAATAAATTCTTAAGTTCTGTGGGTTTTTGTGTTCTCAGTCATAGATCTGACTCACAGGCCCCACTTTACAGGGTGGCTTAAAGAAGAAACTGCACAGCCTCCGCCAGTTGCTCAGTAGTTACAGTGTCAGCCTGCAGACTGAAGGGTCTCGGGTTTGATTCCCATCCAGAGCACGTATAACTTGGTTGCAGGCTCAATCTCTGGTCCAGGTCAGGGTGTGTGCAGGAGGCAACCAATCAATGTGTCTCTCTCACATTGATGTTTCTCCCTCTCTCTATCTCTCTCTGTCTCCTCACTCCTTTCCACTCTTTCTAAAAATAAATGGAAAAAATATCCTTGTGTGAGGATTAACAAAATAATTTTTTAAAAATAATCTGCATATAAAAATGCTTTGCAAAGTGGAAAACATCCTAAAAATGTTAGATGTTATTTTAAATGGGGAAGACTTGGGAGAAAGGAAAGCTACCTTTTTTCCCAAACTAAAATCTGGAACAGGAATGGAGAGGAATGATTTAGGGTTGTGAATCAAATAGAAGTATTATTTGTGAAAAATCGGGAACATGTTCCTCAAAGCTTTGAATGGCACAGAGCAGTTTGCTTCTCCCGCCAGCTTTGCAAGGGGGGGGGGGGGGGGGGGGGCAGCTTTATATAGAAACAGCAGTGTCCCTGTGCACAAATTTGTGTACATTGAAAGTTGATTAGAACATTTTAATATCACTGTTCTCCCTTTCTCTAAAATAGAAGTTTCAACCAAATTCATCATCGACAATGACAGATCAAAACACATGCCTGCGATTGGTGCCAGCAAGAGTTTTATATGTTAGGTGCATGTGTGAATCAACTTAGCCTTTTATAGATATAGAAAAAACTTGCTTAGTTAGACCTTCTTTCTGATTTAGCTAAACTTTTTCCAGCTCAGTGAAGCACCCCAGCTTCTCTTTCAGGTAATTGTCAGCAACACAACAGTAAATATCAACACAAAGCAGATTGTTTTTGTAGGTCACTCAGGGAGAACAAAGGGTAAAATATTTAACTGCAGCAGTGTTTGTCTATATTCTGTGCAGTGAGAAAACCTAAGGTCATTTTCAAGGTCCACTATTTTTTACTTCTCTTCAGTCAGGTCAAGTTTCTAAGCTTTCTAAATCTCTGTTGTCTTGCTAATGAAAAGACAATAGGATTCCACCAAGTTTCTTATATACCTACTCCAGGACATCTCTGAGGATCAAATGAGATGAGGCATGGAAAAATGCTTCACAGACATTTGGTTAAAGTGTAAAATGTTTGCACCTGGCTATAAAGTAAGTCCTGAAGAAACTTCAAGGAGGCTAGGTGCTAGGGAGAGGAAGCTGGGCATTGCTATGTGACATCACTACTTGGTACCCACAGCCACTATTTCCAGGCTGGGCTAGACTGTGATCCACATTTGATGCCATGGGGTCTCAGCTGCAATTTGGTGAGGTGTTGCTCTGGGATGGTGGTCTCACTTGGATAAGTCAAGTGTTGCTTTGTTGGTGCCAGGTCCACAGTGCCATTTCTCTGTAAATAGCCAGTGCATGTCATGGCAGCTCCTGCATTGAGTGTCTTCCCCTTGGTGGTCAGTGCACATCATAGTGACCAGTCGGACAGTCAGACACTTAGTATATTAGCCTTTTATATATATAGATGTCTGCTTTCAGTGGCTTCTCAATCTGGTGATTCCTCCGCTGTTCCTCAACCATCCTGAAGCCAGAACTGCTCACTAGCCTTCTCTCCTTCCTTCCTGCTACAAATTTTCCCCAAGTGCTCTTTCAAAGACAGGTTCTAAGTGAGTTGCTGGGAAGATAGGCATGAGCGAGATGTGCCAATCTATGAGAGACAGACATTGCACTGAAGTGCCTGGCCTCCGTGGCCATCAGGGCAGCGAAGGAAAAGTGTGGGGTCCGGGAGAAGCCGTTAGACAGAGGCCTGCAGATCGTCTTGGGTGCTGGTCGTGGCTCCGGAAGATGGGATGCTTTGCTCTCTCAATGATGAACCAATGTGCTCAGCCCTTTAACATTCACGAAGCACTTCTACTATTTTTTTTTTTCACCTGATCAGGCTCTCAGCCCTACAAAGTGTTAGCACCCTAATGTAGAAATCTAGAAACTAAGACTAAGGCATAGAAGTGATTATCCCAGGGCCAGCTGCTCCTGTCACTTACGGAACTTCTGACTCTAAACCCTAGGCTCCTTCCACCACACACATTGGCTCATGGGTTTCTCACCCCTGGGAGTTGACATTTTGCAACATAGCTCTGGGAAAAGGGCAGGAGTGAAACCCTCCCTGGGTACTTTGATGTGGGTGGAGGTGTGATTTCCGATATGGACAGCCCAGTGTCAAGGGGAAGCCTACCCTAGAGGGGAAAAGACACCCTAACTGCTGGGTGTGCATCACCACCTTTTTGGTCGCCCATAATACTGGAAACCCTCTCTGACCCCAAATATAGCCCCGTAGTCTTACCTGTGCCTAAGAGGAACATGTGTGACCAAATGTGAGTCAGAATGAGACACACAGAACCTCTGCGGGACTCCCAGAGATGTTATTGCTCAAACCCCACTGTTGATGGGCCCAGGTCTGTGGAGGGATTTCACATCTTAGCTACTATTTGTTGCACACTTACTATGTCCCAGGACTTTGTGACAGTGGAAGCAGGCTCTACTAGGATCTCCATTTTGCAATGATGTGACTAAGCCTCAGAGAGATGAAGTAACTTGCCCAAGGTCACACAGCTAGCAAGTTGAAAAGGCAGAATTTGAACCTGCTCTGACTCCGAACTCCGTGCTCTCCAACACTCTGCCAGACTATGTCTCCAAAAACTGAAAATAAATTTCATAGCCACTTCCTGCACTTCCTTCTGGGCTTTCTAGTATTTAAATCCTTGGGACAGTTTTGAAAGGCTCTAGTACCCCTTCTCACACCCACCCGCAGACACCCCCTTCCCTCTGGGCTAAGGATGCCCACCCACCACATCCCTCTTCTTGAGGAGAGTTCATTGAAACTGAGAACTGAAGGATTCAATTCAGACAAACCTGCAGCCAAATTACACAAAGCCAAAGACTGCCCCCGGCCTTAGGTGCTTTTCCAGACTGGGGAGCTCTCCACTCCCCAGAGGGGTTTAGCTAGTCATTTTTCTCCCTTTTAAAGGGAGGGCTGATAATGCAAAGCTCCCACCCCAGCTACAGAATCTCAGTCAGGAAGCTTCACTCTCTTTTTCTGTTCTTTTCTCTCTCTTCCCTCCACCCTCCCTCCTTCCCTCCCTCCCTCCCTTCCTTCCTTCCTTCCTTCCTTCCTTCCTTCCTTCCTTCCTTCCTTCCTTCCTTCCTTCCTTCCTTCCTTCCTTCCTTCCTTCCTTCCTTCCTTCCTTTCTTCTTTCCTCCTCTTTTTTCTCCTCCTCCTTCTCCTTCTCTCTCTGTCTCACACACCACACACACACACACACACACACACACACACACACACACACACACACTTTCTCTCTCAAGCAATAAATAGCTATGGCTTGGGGGGAAATAGCAAACAGATTTTATTTTTTCGTACCTTCCCATGTTTCCTGGCCAGCTCCAGGTGCCAGCGTATTGTTTTAACTCTGATGGGGATTCAGCATTGAGCTGTGAACAATTAAACGTAAACACCAGCCTCACTCCCGTCCTCTTCTTTTCTTCTTAGGTGAAGGCAGCTTCCAAGTATGTGGATGTCCCTGTGAGTATACGAAAATTGTCTTTGTGGGTTTGGTTGTGCGTGTTTTTTTTTCTTTGTTTGTTTGCAGGGTTTTATCTTGTTTTGCTTTGCTTCTATGAGAAGTTTGATGGTGCTGTTTTCGCGAGTTGCTGCTAAATTGTGTATTTTCCCGAACTGGATCACCAGAGGGGGGAGGCCAAGAACATTTCCTGGTAAAACCGTATCCGATGGGAAGAAGGTACGGTTTCTTTCCTCAGAGAGACGCATCCTATCTGAGGGTAAACCCAGCTTACTACCGTTTTTGTTTTCTTTAGTTCCTCTGACATATGTTGCTCAAACCCCACTATTGATGGGCCACTCACCTCCCACTGCATGCACCCCTTAGAAATAGAATCATAACCTAGAAACGTGCATAGGATGCCGTATTTAAAAAATGAAAATAAATAAGTTCTGAATTTGTTCATTTTGGGGTCAGTTCTGCAATTGTTTTCGGGAAACCTGACCACACTGTGTATGACTAGTGCAGACCTCATTAATGAGGAGAGCTCTCAAAGTTCACAGCCGAAGCACTTGGAGGTGCCCAGGATTTACATTTAAATTGAGGTTAAGTGCGCACATGGAGGCTAGCAGGCGGGATTACCTGTGGGGAACGGGACACGCTGGTAGGCGGGCTCTCCCTGCCGATTAGCAAAGCAAAATTGCGGAGACTTCAGTGTGTCCCAATGAAGGGAAAGGCAAGTGATTCTGCATCTCCGTGCCTAACAAAAGAGGTGGGAGTCTATTATAAAATATTAAATTTAGAGAGCTTATCTCAACAGCCACCAAGGGGCTCGTACTGAACGTTTCTCATTCTGAACGTGGTTAAGTGCCCTCCTTGTTCAAATACTTATTTGCTAAAATTTGTGTTTTTCTAAAGGGATTTATATTAACATTTAAATTCATTTCCCCAGGAAGTTGAGTGTGTAATGGTTTATTGGCTTATTCCTCACAGGGAGGCAGAAATGGAAAATTGGAGTGAATTTGGCATTAGCATGTATTTTGTTTGTTTAATGGAAGCATGTACAATCAATAATGATGCTTTGAATTTATATAATATTTCTCATCGAGGGACCTCAGACTCCTTCACATAGATAATCCTTACAGTGAGGGAGAGAAACGTTAAGCAATTTATTTTCCCAAGCCCCAAACTCTAAACTTTCGGTTCACAGGGAGCAAACTATCCACATTCTCTGGGCCTGTTTCTCCGTCCTTAAAACAGAGATAATAATACTCAAGACACGGGTTTCCTGTGCAGATGAAATGGCACACATGTGTGGAAGCCTGGGCACCACGCCTGGCCCTCATCAGACCTTTCAGCTGCAGGAGCAGGGCAGGTGGCGGGGTGGGCGTGCGAGGCCCACAATCCAGTGCAGGAGCCTGGGAGTGGGGGCAGGACTGGCAGGTGACATTAGCTCTGGCCTGCCATGGTCTTCAACAGTAATAGAAACTGGAATTCTAGGCTTATAACGCAAAGATCTGGTGGCTAAGGCTTGTTTTCTGTCGCCTCAAAGAAGAGGGAAGATCACGCCAGCGAGGGTAGAACAGGTGAGGAGTGGGCAAGGTCCAAGTACGCAGAGAAATGTGATCGGGCAATTGGTACGAACAACTCAAATTGGCATTTGGGGGAGGTCAGAAAAGTCCAGAATTGGTGGTGTCCTGTGGTTCAGGTTGATGGTAAAGTGGAGGGGGAAATGCACAGCAAAAGAGCCCTGCTCTGTAGTCATCCAGTGTCCAGAGATGGGTTTGTGCCACAGCGGAAGCCTCGCTGGGCTCTGGGGGAACAAAAGGAATTAGCCGAGTCTCTGCGCTCTAGGGAGGCTTTTGGGAAAGGAAGCGGCATATGGCACACTTACCGATGATGGTGACAACGGAAGCCACGCCTTTTAAAACCCACTCTGTGCGGGGCACCCTGCTAAGCACTTTACACTCAATCTCGACAGCAACCCCACTGTAATGGTGAGGAAACTGAGGCCGGGAGGCTCACTTCCGCAGGGTCCCAGCTGCTAAGTGGCGGAGCTGAGATCTCAGCCAGGGCTCTTCACACTGTGCCACCTGCCAGATGGTGGTAGTGAGTGGGCAGATGAACGTCTTTATCTGGTTAATTGAGTAATTGCTGTACTTTAGTATTGGGAAAACTAAAAATCATGACTTTACCAATTACTAAGGCTTAGGGAAAAAAAAAAAAAGATAAACTTTAAAATTAAGTTGACTAAAGTGTGCTTTATAGCAAATACCATTATAGTGATATTGTAAATTATCACTATATTTTTATGTATTGTAAATTATCATAATTTACAATATGATAAAATGAGTAACACTAATATCAGAATAATTATATAGCACTAATAGTATAAGTAATGTTTTCATAAATAAATAATTTTAGAGAAAATAATAGTGTACAGAAGACATATTCTACATGTACATTGTTTACATGTAGTAAATAATAGTAATCACTCACTTCTCAAAACCACACTGCGAGGGGTAATGTTTTCAGCCTGATCCACAGCTGAAGAGAGGAGGGAGGTTAGTTGCCTGCCCAGGGTCTCCCTGCCAGGAAGCAGGAGTGTGCGGTCAGGTGCTCGTCCTTTGACTAAGTGGAGGGAGCCTCCTGGCACTGGCCCCTAAGAAGGAGCCCAACTGTGTGCATTTCTTCCCAACTCTGTCCTCGGCGAGGGCACATGAGCAGCAACAGCTCGGCCACAGAAAGAGTATTTACACCATGGGCACTGACGAGCACTACAATCCAGGGTCTGTTGTTTGTGTTGTTGTGTGTTGCCGTTTTGGAGAGCCAGTGTACCAGCACACCAGTGGCCATCGCCTGTGGAATCAGCAGTCCCCAAACCAGAATGTGCAGCAGTCATACTTGGCAAGGATTTGGGTCTTACCTGGCTTTGTTTTTAAAGAGAGGTTTCTAGCCCCTTGTCTCCAGAGATGCTGACTCAGTAGTTCTGGGGTGGAACTGGGAGGTCTCTTTCTCAAGCTCCCCATGTGATTCTGAGAGGCAGTCCAAGCTTGGGAGTCGGTGGGCTCCATCGGGGATTCTCCACCTTGCCTACATATTGGAAACACCTGGGGAGCTTTTTACACCCGTTAGTGCCACGTTGCTTGCCAAATTAAAACAATCTTTGGTGTGGGGTCTCGACATCAGTGTTTTGAAAGCTCCCCAGGTCCTTGTCATCTGTAACCAGGTTTAACAACTATTGGGTAAAATCATCTTCCAGGTTGTTTCTAGCTCTGAAGACTGAGTTCCTTTGGGTGGCCCTCTGAGGTTGGCACGTGGTTCGCTGTTTAGTACTATGTGGGAATTAGTAGTTAGTTACCTTAGAGCAGTGTTTCCCAACCTTCTCTCATGATGAGAATCACCTGGTGGAGTTGTTAAAACACAGATTCCCGGATCCCAACTAAGAAGTGCTAAACTAGAATTTTTGAGAACATATAGGTAAAATTGCATACCTAACTTAGTGCTCTGTATATAAAATCTGTCTTAGAGCACTAGTTAAGTATACAATTTTACCTATATGTTCCCCAAAATTCTAGTTTAGCACTTCTTAGTTGGGATCCGGGAATCTGTGTTTTAACAACTCCACCAGGTGATTCTCATCATGAGAGAAGGTTGGGAAACACTGCCTTAGAGACTTGTCTCTTAATTATCCACATTGATGGAGAGAGGCATTATTGCCAGCCATTGAAAACGTGGCATAAATCCCAAAGCATCTCTTTGTCTTAGACGAAGCGTTCGAACATGGTATCCATAGCAGGTTTGCCTTCCCAATTAGGGCTGCTTGCTAAGGGTGCTGACAATCTGAATCTGTTTTCTCAAACTCAGAGGCATCCTGGCAGGAACAAACCCGGATTTAAATGCCTTTTTTCTCTAAGCCACAGAGAGGATCCTTCACAATGATATCTTCACCATGGTTAACTCAATGGATAGAGTTGACTATACCGAGATGAATATATTTGTTGTTTATTTCATGCCCAAGCCATGTATACATAAGCCCTGTAATTGTGGGGCATTAAAACCACTGCCTAGCGTTTTCCCCACTGTTTGTAGATAGCAATGTGGTAACAAGCCTAATTTCTCTAATAGCATCGGTTGTTTAGCCAAGAAAAATTTCCATCTATAATTACAAGTTAGCTTGTTTGTGTGTAAACAGTTTTTATTTTAACCATTTGGTTGGAAATCTACTTAAAATGCATTACACACCCTCTCCTGCCTTTTCAAATAGGGAACTGGCCATGCTTCAGCGTCTCCTCCATGACAGAGGATCATGCCGGAACTGACTCCAGGGTGTAGGGTAGCTTGCCTCTCCCAGACCCCAGCCGGGGGTGGCCCTACATGTGGGGGGCTACAGTCCGGCAGCCTTTTCCCCACACACAGGGCCCCAGGGAAAGCAGGAGCCCTCTATTATCAACACACCTCTTGCTGGCCCCCAATGGGATGGAAAGCAAACCCCTTGGTATTGGATGGAAAGCTGATTAGAAAGGAAGATGGTTGTGAGTGGGGGCCTGAGGACTCTATTTAAAAAAAAAAAAAAAAAAAAAAAAAAAAAACCTATACATTTTCCTGTAGAGATTTTGTCGTTTTTATTTTGATGGTGGTTTCTCTGAGGCCCTTCCCCCCCCCCCCCGCCCCCATGGTTCCAAAGTAGATTATAAAGGTAGGTAAGGCTATGAAATAATATAACATTTGGGGACTCAGTGTTTACATAGTAATATATGTAACATACTTTATTTTAGCTGATAATCATACTAATGTTCAAGGTAAGTAGGGAGCTTTTAATCCCATTTTACAGATGGTATAACTAAGGCCTGGAGAAATTGAAATGATTTTCACAAGTTTTTATTTGTGGGGAATCCAATAAAAAGCCAGGTACAGTAAGTCCCCCATTTAATGTCATCAATAGGTTCTGGTAACTGTGACTTTAAGTAAAATGACAAAAAAAAAACAAAAAAAAAACAATTTTGGCATGGCTAATGGATATAAACAAGAGTTCAGTTCCAGGGACATCTTGTCAGAGTTATAACAGAAAGACATAGAAGTGGAGGACCTGCCGCAGAGTGACTGAGAGCTTTGGGAAGGAGGTGGGAGGGACTTATTTATTCATGGATTTGTTCACTCAGCAAATATGTACCAAGCACCTACCACATACCAGGCATCAATCTATGTGCTGAGGATACAGTGGAAAATAGAGCAAATAAAGTCCCTGTAGTCATGGATTTTATGTTCTAGTTATCCAAGAGAGGCAAAGACAGGAACTATATCCATAGTACAATGTCAGATATTGGTGAGTGCTATGACAAAAAATTAAACACAGTCAAGAAATAGAGAATTATGGAGTTGTTGTTTTTTTTAACTACCTGGGGAGATGAATCATCTTGTGTAGGTTGTTTGTTTTTTTTTAATCAAAGTTTTTTTTAATTTTTATTTTTTTAATATATTTTATTGATTTTTTTACAGAGAGGAAGGGAGAGGAATAGAGAGTCAGAAACATCGATGAAAGAGAAACATCGATCAGCTGCCTCCTGCACACCCCCCCACTGGGGATGTGCCCGCAACCAGGGTACATGCCCTTGACCAGAATCAAACCTGGGCCCTTGAGTCTGCTGGCTGACGCTCTATCCACTGAGCCAAACCAGTCTCGGCATTAATTAAGTTTTTAAAACTTAAAAGCCCCTTTAGGATAGCAAATGTGGTGAAAATACCAATTACTGTAGATGGCTGTTTCTATCCTGGAGGGTCACTGACCAGTCTGCAGGCTTTGGCTTTGGCTTTGGGTTTTTGCTCTCCTGTGGCTGCATGTGTCCTGGAAAAGGCCACGTCTGCCACCAGCAGCACCAGGAAAAAATGGAAACAGTAATAATAAGTGTCTCAGGTCCCCCAGGTAGGGGTCCCTCTCCCCACAGAGACGCCTTTTGATGCTCCAAAGGGAGAGGAGGACAGAGGTGCCCTGAGAAGGGAGAGCTCTCGCTTCCATCCCATTGGAGAACCCCTGTGGCTGCCCATCATAAAGCTGCCGCAATTACAGGCCCGTCACAGAGCCTGCTCAATCCGCTCCATGAAAATTGCTTGAAAGCCTAACGGTTGACTGCTGTGGCTTTGGGTTGTCTTCGTTGTTTTTCAAATTAATACCTTGTCATTGTTTCAGCAGGTGTTAAGAAATGTTACTAGCATCCCAGGGGCCAGGCATTGGCCCTTTGCTTGATAATTGTTTGCTTTGTGTTTGAAAAATATACAGTCCTACTGTTTCCAAACCTTCATTTTCACCCTGGAAATTACACAGAAGTGTTAACTAACTTCAATTTGCAGCGCTTGACAGTCCCGTCTTGTAGAGAAATGATACTTTGTGATCTAAGGTAAATCACAGTAATGAAAGCTAATCTTTTCAGTTATTAGCAAACATCCATATCTGCTGTGGGAACTTAAGGGGTTTGTGGCAGCTCTCCTAATGACCCGTATTACAGCGTTCTAATAGGTGTCTTTGGAGATAACTTTGATTACGATATGTCAAGCAGCGTGCATTCTGAGTTTCTTTTTTTTTTTCTTATAATAAATCATTTCCTATGCTGTAAGAACCACCTGCTTACCTTTCCAGAAAATCTAATTTATTTAAAAATCAAATCCTTCCCCCCTGCCTTTTTTTTTTTTTTCAATTCTTGGACTATAAGCTGCACCCATTGAAGACAAATGGTTGAATGCCTCCTGAATAACTGATGAGGAAATACTACAGACTCCGGTTAAATCACCCCCAAAATGTGACTTGGACAGGTGGAAGGGGTATAGATCAAACCCTGTAATCTCGACTCCCTTCTTAGCCAGGTTTGATTTCCAGCAAGTGCAGAAGGCTCCAATACCCATTCTGACCAGTCCGTGCTGGGAACAGCTGTGACATGCACCACGGAGAGCTGAGAACTCCCACCAGAGGGTGGGAGATGGGGGAGAGGAACATGCAGGGGTGAATTCCCTTCTCATGTTTTCCTGTTTCTTTGCAGAAACCCGGGATGGACGTGGCCGATGCCTACGTGACTTTCGTCCGCCACTCTCAGGATGTCCTCCGTGATAAGGTCAATGAGGAGATGTACATAGAAAGGTTATTTGATGTAAGTAGATGCCTCCTCCTCCTTGCAGACCAAGGAGGAGACCCTCCAAAATGTGACAAAATAAGAGACAGGAGGATAAGTCACATTTTGAGAAACATGGATTGGTCCCAACTCAAACAAAATCTTCTCCTCTCCCTCCGCCTCAGGCTCGTATCTGTCGTGTGTCTGTTTGGAGGCCACCCTGGTCTGGTGTGTCTCAGCCCCCCGATCTGTGTGACACGCAGCCTCTCGGCACGCAGGCTCGGTCCTGCGGGACGCTTGGGGGCAGCTTTCTCTAACTGGCAGAGACCTTTCCCCGGTCGTGGCGCTCTTCCTTGCAATCTGGCCTTGCTTTAGGGGCTAGTCTCCTGGGGAGGCTGAGCCAGCTGCCCTCCGGGGTCGGGGGTGTGCGGGGGGTGGGGGGGCGGACCCTCCCGGACACCGGCTGTGGCGTGCAGATGTGCACTGTTACCACTTCCAAAAGGATTCTGTTCCTGGGAGACCAGAGATCCTCCCTTAGCCCTGGGTTTTGGCAGACACGTTAGAGCTGCTCGGTCAGTTGCCAGTCTAAGCCCACCCTCCCCCTGGAAAACCTGGGGAAAAGTGCATGCCCATCAGGCTGCAGACCCAAACTGAACTTCAGGCACACAGCTCTCCCACGGCTCACGGTGGCCTCTCTCCTACTGCGCTCCCAGAGCCAGCCACTGCGCCAAGAGGTTTAAAAGGGAATCTGCTTTGGTCTCAAATCGCCCACCTCTCTCGGGCCAAAGCAGGCGGGACGGGGCTCTCTGATGAAGCCAGATATGTTGCTTCCAGCTTCCACCAAATTTGCCAGTGTAGACCCGGCCAGAGTGCAGGGACGCGGACGCCCTTGTCTCGTGTGGCTCTCTCTCTCTCACGGTGCCGCCTCCTTCTGTCTTGTGCAGCGTGCACTCCTCCTGTCCAGGTTCCTGTTCCTTCGGTGCCAGCAGCCCGAACATTAATGTTGGGTCTACAATGGGATCCGTGTTTCTGTATTTTCCCGTGACTGTGTTCCGTTTGCATTGCGTTCGCGTGTATGTGTGTTTTTGTTCCGCGGCGCGGTGAGCTCATTGTTGGCACCGCTGAGGGTACGGCAGCTCCTGACTTGTATCTGCCTTGTCTTCCAGCTCATTTGCTTTCCTCGTGTGCTGAAAAGGCCCCTTTCTTTCTTTTCTTTTCTTTTTTTTTTTTCTTTCCCGATCACCCCCTTTCTGTGCTCAGTATCGCTCCTTCCTCCTCCGCACCTCCTTTCTCCGAGAAACCCTTCTTCCTTCTAATTCCCACCCGTCCATCCCCCTCTCTCGGGTTAAAATGGAACTTATCTCTCATGTCAACTGTTTTATCACATTACGCCAAATGGCATGGATCAGAATCAAATAATCTTCCTGTGTACATCTTCTAGCATGACCCGCACCCACTGAGAATGCCTCCTGCCTGCCCGGAGCTCTGGGCGGGGCGGGCCCTCTCCCTGCCTGCATGCGGCCTTGATGACAGTCCCGAGCCCAGAATGCCCGGGGGGACGGTCACCCACCCCATAGGCATTGAAAACAGCCAGGCAGCACCCTGGGGTCTCCACTGAACTAAATTCCAAAACACCCATTTTCCAGAAGCCTGTGGATTGTTCTTTTCAATGCCTAGGTTGCCTTTTCCCCCCTTTGATTAGTATCTTCTGACTCTCAGTTTTGTGTGGCCTCTGCGTGCGTGTGCCTGTGTGAGCGTGTGTGCGAACAACCTCGTGCTCTCAAAAAGTTTAAAACAACGGGCACTGAATTGGACATTGAATCTGCAATTGCGCCTGCCCCTCCATTAACAAATAGCCCACTCTGCCCTCTTTGGTTTTTTTTGGTTTTTTTTTTTAATTAGAAGGGCAAGGGGCCATTTGTTTAAGGTAGCCCTCTCGAAGGCAGCCGGGCAAATTGTCCTCTTCTGTGACCTTTTTCAAGGGAACGTGCAGCTGAATTATTTGCAAAGTGAAGAGTCCAGGCGTGGCTCGCACAGATGGCAAAAGCAGACTCATCCGACTAACCGAAGAAGGCAGGCAAACTCAAGCCCTCGGGCCTTTCGTGTGAATTAATAATGAAAAGGAAAAGGAGTAATGAAAAACAAAAATGAATATGTTTTTCAGGAAGCAAGTTATGCTTAAGGGGATGCAAAAATTCACAGACATCCCGGTCCCCTGTTGAATTACACACTGACCAGCACGGACCGGCCTCAGCCGCGTGGTGAGATCCCCCACCATTCAGTCTTGGATTGTGCCGGCTGTGTTTTCCTGAGGGTGTCTTAGGATCGGGTTTTCCAGACGTCAGCATTACAGCCATTCCCTGAGCATCGGTGGCTTGTTTAGAGATCAATCCCTTTGCCATTGGCTTCCTTGCTTTTCAAATAACCTGCTCCCCTGGCTCTCAGGACCTTGGCACCGGGCAGCCTCGCTGAGGAAGCGCAGAAAAGTTACTGACTCTGTCGTGGATTTGAAACATTTGTCGTTTGAAACACCCAGAGTTGCACAAGAAGCTTCATTACCATGCCGTCTCGGTAATTGAATTCAGTCCTTACTGTTTTTTCTGTAATCTCGCAGCAAAACATCAGATTACCAACATGTCTGATTATTTTCGACTTCTGTTTCCTCAAGCATGGTGTTTATTCCTTTGCCTCTTTGCTATGCTGAAGGGCCCCGGTGTCCACCGAGCTGGACAAGGGGACAAGGATAGGACGGCAGAGGTCTGGGAACCCCGCCACCCTCCACTTCCTGCAGCCGCGGCCTGGCCTTTCCCTGCTTTCCTCTAGGTCGGGGTCCTGGGGCAGGCGCCTAAACAATTGGCAGAAATCTATCGAGATAAGCATCGATCTGAGAGGCTTCTCTTCCAAATCGTTGCCTTTTGACAAATGGCAAAAATGAATAATAGAAAATTAGCATTTCGAACGAGGGGAGGAATCTATATCTCTGGGGTTGTTTGCTGCTTGGGGGCTGTTTGTTCTGACTGTGGTGGCATTCTCTGGTGGCTAGCTCCTGCTGGCATCTGTCATTTCCAGGCCCGTTCTCGGGGATCCTGTGGTGTTTTAGCTGTGGTTCTCAGTCTTGGTTTTATTTGCCTGATAAATCCTTTGCGTTCTTGCTATTTAGTATGATTCCCCTTTCTGTCATTTTAGGAGTGCGTTGTAGGGAAGGCTGGGTGGCATTTGTGTGAGTCCCTATCTGGGAATATGTGGACTAAAAGCTGGTCATTGAATGCGTGTATCTTCCGTGTCAGCCAGGCCTACATTTCACTGCTCTCTCGGAGCTGGTTTTTCTCTGCCTCGTCATGTTCTTTTGGCTGGAATTGGGTGCTTGTGGGGGATTATGGGCATAGCATTTGGGGCTCTATATTTGATGTTCCGCGTTTTTATCTATTTTATTATGTAACGTAAGAACAGCTTTCTAAATTCATCTTCACCGATTTAAAAAAAAAAATAGGCATTCTCTAGATTTATTGGAGAAATATGTTCAGACATAACGTTGCCTAACCAGGGCTTTTTAACGCGGTGAAAGATTGCCTGGGTGTTAATATAATTGATTTACAGAGGCCTATAAAATACCATTAACTTCTTTGGTAATGCCCCTAACTGGTCCAAAATTAAGTGCTGATTGGAAAAGAGCCTTCATACAGCTTCCCATAGTATTTCAGATACGTAGCTGTACATTTTTATCTGTGTTTTGTCTTTTTTTTTTCTCTAAAAAATGACATGTAATTGAAAACTGGTTTCAGTTACTGCAAAGTAACAGTTTACAGAATTTTGAAACAAAGGCAAGAGAATGTGTACAATAGCAATGAATTTAAATTCTATTAAAGATACTGACTTTTTAAAAGAAAATCAGATTGCTGTCAGACTCAAGTGGAAGCCTGGCCTCCTTGAATATTATTGCTGACTTTTAAAGAAAATATAAAACATGAATATGAAATAATCTTCATCTTCCTAACACAGCAAACGAGAAGGCTTGCACAGCCCAAGAAATAAGTCAGAGGCGGCGGTTTAAAAGCTCGAGTGTCCATAAATCATGCAGATGGCTCTCCCCCTCCTCTGGTGATTAATTCAACATCTTCCCCAGAACAGGAACACGCTTTTTGAAATTAAGAGATCAGATCATCAAGAGAAGCACCTAAGATTTCAAGGTCTAAACAAAAATTAATTTCTTTCCTTTCCTCCTTGTACTTCTTGAAGACACAGACTGAGGAGAAAATCAGGATTAAAAGAGATTTTAATGCTTAGGGCGAATTCATCTGCTTAAACCTCCCAGGCTAGGAGACGAGTGATTAAAAGCCACCCGCACTTGGACAGGGTCCACACTGGGTAGCACGCACCCGCACTGGCTCAAGCACCAGGCCGAGAACAGTTGCCTGGAGATGATATGTGGATTATATAGGTCAATTATACTCTTAATCTGCCTTCTGGAGGATTAGGTCTCCACAGATTGACTCTGCCTTGGGCTTTTCCGTGGCGGTTATCAGATCCAGATCAGGGAGGGGCAGTTTCAGGCAGGGCCCTGGTCCTTTGCCTTGAGCAGATTTCCACTCGCCGTTTTCAAATCTAGACTCGTCCAGTCCACTAGGTTTCGGCACAATTATTGCATGTGACTATCTCCCTTGAAAGGGGCAATTTGAAAAATGAAACCTCTTCCTGTTAAGATATACAGGGTGGGTCAAAAGGAAGCTTATCATTGCAAGTACCCCAAACAAAGTTCATTCTTGTATTATTATGCAGTAATTATTGTATCATTTTCCAGCCTACCAACTGTAAACCTACTTTTGCCCCACCCTGGATTTGCTGTATTCATGTGTGAAAGCACAGATGACCTTGTTTTAATAACCTTATTGAATCACAGACCAGCCAGAGCAGGAGTCGATCTGCTTGAGGGAGGGGGTACAGAGGAACGGGCCTCAAGGAGAACGTGCTGTTATGTAAAATTTGTAAGGTGTCCGCCCACTGTCCGGTGAGGGAAACCACTTCCAAAAATGCGAAGTGGG